GATATGAAGTGTTCATAATTGCATGTAAAAAATTGTTAATTCTAATGTAATTTATTTCAACAAGTTTCTTACTGTTTTATAGATTGTTAATTATTGTTTATTGTTTTCGGCACTGTATTGTCTATAATATAAGCACTATCTATATTTAAGCACTTTTTTCCTTAATGACTGTTTGTGCCAAAATAAAGAGAAAAAAAAAAAAAAAAAAATTACGTTCGAGACCACAGCGGCCGCAAAAGAAAACTCACAATATTATAGGACTAGATTTTGATATTACGCTGGCTTCGGTTGAAATGTATCACAAGGATTGCATCCACGGGTTTTGTACCTTTCATAAAACTGGATTGCGCCTGCGACGCGGAGCACAATAGCTTCGAGCAAGAACTTGTCTTGGTGTGCCGTTTATCTATATAGAAAATTATTGGTTTGTCAATCTTCGGACAACAAATTTTATAGTAATGGTTTTAGAAATAATTGTATACGTTTAATAAAATATAAACCGGTACAAACCCCCCTTTTTTAGGTTGGGATTTTACTTATAAAATCCATACAAAAGAAGAAAATTATTACAAAGAAAAAAAAGTACTCGTATCTCAAAAATAGTCATAAATGATCGTCAATTATTGAGTTTGTCATCACTCTTGACAATAGGCTTATTTTAAGAGTTGTCAACCGCTTCTGGCAATGAGGCTTATTTAAGGAGTATACCAACCGCTCCGGACAATAAGGCTTATTTTTAAGGAGTTTGTCTACCGCTCCTGACAATTTTATAATAAGGTAGGTAACTAGCAAAATTAATAAACAATATAAGTTCTTTTAGAGAATAATTGATGCGGAAGGGTAATCAGTGTAGATACCTAAAGGCAGGGGTAAGAAACTGCCTAACAATGTAAAAATTCTTGGTATAGAGCGCCATCTGTGAATAAAATTCCGCATTTGTTAATACAACCCTATTATATTCGCTAGATGGCACTAAAATAAAATATTGAGAAGTCAAATGTGACTATCGATTAGTTCTAATGTGACTATCAATTCTATTTGATTATAATTAAATAAATTTTGTTAAGAACTTTTTGATCAATCATTATTTTGATAAATAAGAAAATTCGACATCAAAATCTCATACTAATTTTAAGATTAGTAATATGACGTCTTAATTTGTTTTACTTGTATTTTATGTAATTGTTCAAATCGATTTCAAATCGATATATTAGTCAGCTTTCAAAAATTGCAAATGGCCGATTGTTTGTTATCTTGTTGTTGTCATTGCGCTTGCAGCTTGTTTTGGACTGTAATTAAAATTATTAAAGGATATCAAAACTGCAAAACCCATTTGATGAATAAAGAAAATATCAACAGATATATTCGATGCAAAGAAAATGAAAAAAAAAGAAATGGCTTTGCTACCCATCTGAAGCATTAATGCGGTGTTTCAGTGACATTCAGAAAAGTTAAACCACTGAAAATCAAATCAAATATAAAGCTTTTAAATGAAATATTGATAAATTTAAGTGTTTTTAATTGCAAAAAAACATAAAACACATTAAAAAGGATATTTTGAGGACACTACAATAAACATAATTTTGTATAGTTAGTGTCTGTCTATCAATCGAATTTTATCAGGAAGCTTATAAGCGTTATATGATGGAGATAATTTAACCAAAACTAATGCCCGAACGTATTATAATAGTCATCAACACAATAAAAATAAGAAATAAATGTGTTTGATTCGAAACACTGTTCTGTTTACTGGCCTGTGACGTCATCAGCTGTCATGTCAAAGTAGTGTTAGAAAGATATCGATGCCTGTAGGTATCGAATACTTTATAGTAATTTACTGATAACATAATACTTTGCCGCTTCTACTAATAAGAACTGCTAAAAAGAAATACAGAATGAATGAATCATTTACTAAGCTTTTCAAAAAATCCAAGAAATAGGGAAAACGCCAGCAATTTAAAAAAAGAGCAACTTACATGTTTTTCTCATTTCTTGAACTTTAATATAATAATTCAAAATTACAAAGTCAATTTTGATGATATATACTCTTCTCCAAGTTAAAAACTAATTTTAAAAAATCATCGTGGTCTATTATCTAATTATCAAATGCCATGCATTTAGTGGACAGACATACTACATGCATGTATAAAAAAATAGAACATTATTTTTCGTACTAATGTCTCATCCATCTACAGGCTGTAAAGTGCGAGCCCTGTTAACAAATATAAATGAGTCGTAAAATGTTTATGACAAAGAAAAAAACCAAAAAGAAAACCTTCAAATGTATCGATATCAAATAAAAAAGTTTCAATACTTTTAGCAAATCCTTAGCTATTGTGATTGTGAATCTATTTTCTTCTAGACTTGAAGTTTGTTTTTTATTTATAGAAGTATTAGTATCATATAGAAGAAGTATTACACATTGTGGCACTACGCACCACTTGAAGCTCATTTTTAAAGAAAACCAGAGCAGATGAAAATAAAAATCGTAAAAAATACGCACTATGACTTCAATTTCTCTTCTAAATTATTATTTCAATTTACTCTAAAGACAGTTGTTACTTATCGATTTGACATATTTACTGGCCTGTGACGTCACGATCAGCGCCATTACATAGAGCAGCGTTTTTCACGCGCTTTTGGTTATTTAAATTTTAACAATTATTTTCACCAAAAATAGAAAAGATTCCAATGAAATATTATAACAGTGTGTTTATAATGTAGCAAACAACGATTTAGAATAGTTCTCGGAAAAGTGTCAAATACCCTATTCCTTTTACAGCAACGCAATCGATGTTTGGGAAACATCGATGGTTTTGATCGAATGTTGACTTCGATGTCAATATCGATCATCCCTAGTTTACTCTTAAGACAGTTGTTACTTATCGATTTGACATATTTACTGGCCTGTGACGTCACGATCAGCGCCATTACATAGAGCAGCGTTTTTCGCGCGCTTTTGGTTATTTAAATTTTAACAATTATTTTCACCGAAAATAGAAAAGATTCCAATGAAATATTATGACAGTGTGTTTATAATGTAGTAAACATCGATTTAAAATAGTTTTCAGAAAAGTGTCAAATACCCTATTACTGCATACAAGTTTTGCAATTTCTTCTGAAAGTCTGAAACTCTGTAAGAAAAGCCCAACTTATTAACTTACACGAGCTTGACCGTAGAATAATTAAAATTTGTAAATAAGTTATTATATTTAAAAGAAATAGACTAAAAATATTCTTAGTGAAAAATGTTTAAAACTCCCCAAATCAAAATCAATCATTTATTTACTAATTAAATATTTATGATTAATCCCAAAATATTGTTATAATAATTTAATAGTTATTAGTTTGTTAATCGATTGCATACATTTTTAAAAAGGAATCAATTTATATGTACTCTCACAATAACAACTCAATAAGTAGTTACATCTGGAGACTCCTCCATAGCTCCGCGTCAGCATAGCATTTTCTAGAATCTAGAAGTAAGTCGGCAGACGCCACCGATGAACTCGTCTGATGCATGAATATTATATCATAGTTTTTAAGTTAGTCTTAGGCTACATTCAGATGACAAGCGCTCAACGCTAGTTGAATTTTTGTATAGTGATTACATAGTGCGCGCTTGTCGGGCGTTAAACGCGCGTTGTCGCGGCCGCCCTGTTTCAGTTTGAGTTCTACATTTGTCGAAGATGGACGTAGAAACAGTTTTCATGGTAATTTTATACCGACGGCAGAAACAACTCGACAAAAGACGGAGATATTGGGTCCACCCAAATTTGTCACACAGGCTGACTGAAAGCCATTACATTTATATATATTCTAAATTAAGGCAATTTGGGCCGAAATTCTTTAACTACTTCAGAATGTCCATCAGGTCATTTGATGAACTTGATAAACCCTAGAATACGTTTACCCGCGTCGAAAGCGCGCGTTCAACTGATCGGAAACATAGAAAAGCAATGATATCAAAGCGCGCGTTGACGCGCGTTAACAGCAGTCGAGCGCTAGCGCAGCGTTCAATGCGCATTAGCATCTGTACTGTAAGCTCCTCCGCCTCGCCCACTACTTCACTAAATGCACTCCTCAACCAATGTTTATTTGTTAACAGTACCTAATTTTTTAACGCAGTTACGTCAATTTCATCAATAAACAGAGTGTTTGAAGAGGAAACTAGAGATGAGACTTACTTGATATACTTACATATATTCAAAATAGGTTCTTATATAAAAACCTTTTTCAAAAAAGTTTTTAAGTATTATTTTAATACTTTTGAGACGTATTTTGTATGCACACAAACAAGAAGATTTGATATTTATATATTTATTAATTCTCAAAATTCTTGCATACAAAAAACAATACATAAAATACCAAAGTTTTTTATGAACACTATGATGAGTATGACGAATTAGTCTTTAACGATTTCCTTGAAAATGAAGAAAATGAGATATGTTTATCAACTACCCAATCATGAACGATGTTCCAGTTATCCCACAAATACTTTACATTTATTTTCTTCAATGAAGACAGATGTCAGACTATAATGTATGATTATTATATCTTAATCAGAAATCTGGATGGATATTATATATTAGAGAGATTGGTAATTTTTAAGTCCTTGATTTCAACATCGGTATTCTGCCCGATATTATGTTGCATCGGGCATCCCTACTAGTCTACTTGTGTTTTTGTTCTTTGTATTTTTACTTTTTATATTTTACATACTCTTTGTGTTTCTGTTTTTCAATGGTTACTTTTTTAATTGTATGGGGTTTCCGTCTAACTCTTAAATGAATACATAAATAAGTTTTACTTAAATGACAGCTATCAGCCCTGTTCTGTATTGCTTAACATAGGCCTAGTAGAAGTTAAAGTAAGTCCTATTATGTTTTTTCTAACCGTTATATGTTCTCAATTTTAATGCGATAGATTATGAGCAGATAGACAAAACGCAAAATTCCAGCTTGATATGTCATTCATAAGATGTTAATGCTTTTCAAGCTATGTCTACAGTAAAAGTAGAAAACCAAAAAGCTACGGGATCTAAAGAAAATGGACGTGATGGTTCCGATGATTTACTTGATCTCAAAGGTAAAGTCGAATCCAGATTATTATCTATGTGGAATAACGTAAAATTTGGTTGGACTGTTAAATTAAAAACTAGTTTTTCTAAAGAATCGCCTGTATGGTTGCTAGGTCGCTGTTATCATCGCAAATTAAGTCCTACAGGTTCCTTGGAATCTTCAACAGAGATTGGGACAGAGGCAACCGCCCACCAACCTATGGAACAGATTTATGGAGAAGGCATTGAAGGATTTAAATCTGATTTTATTAGTAAACTTTGGATGACATATCGGAGAGAATTTCCCACAATGTCAGGTTCAACTTTCACCACAGATTGTGGTTGGGGATGCATGTTAAGAAGTGGACAGATGATGTTGGCTCAAGCTTTAGTTTGCCACTTTTTGGGACGTTCCTGGAGATGGTGTCCCGAAAAGACTATTCAGAATGCTAGAGAATTTCAAGAAGACTGCCTTCATCGAATGATAGTTAAATGGTTTGGTGATAAGTCCTCAGTTAATAGTCCTTTATCAATCCACAATATGGTAACATTAGGTGCGACTTTGGGCAAGAAACCTGGTGACTGGTATGGACCTGCCTCTGTAGCCCATTGTCTAAAAGCAGTTGTAAAAGCTGCATCAAAAGAGAATTATGAGTTTGATAGCATTGAAGTATATGTGGCTCAAGATTCAACAGTTTATGTCCAAGATGTATATTCAAATTGTCATTTACCCAATGGATCATGGAAATCTCTTATACTCTTAGTTCCTGTCAAATTGGGCACTGACAAATTTAATCTGACATATGGACCTTGTCTCACTTCACTACTCACATTAGACTTTTGTATTGGAATTATAGGAGGCAGACCAAAACACTCTCTGTATTTTATAGGGTATCAAGATGATCGATTGATTCATTTGGATCCACACTATTGCCAAGAAATGGTTGATGTTTGGCAACCTAATTTTTCACTACAAACTTTCCACTGCCGATCACCAAGAAAAATGCCTCTCAGTAAAATGGACCCATCATGTTGTATTGGGTTTTATTTGGCAACACAGCATGACTTTGAAACCTTTGTTAATGTTATTACATCTTTTCTCATTCCACAAGGTGTCTCAGCTAATTTTGAATATCCTATGTTTACATTACACAGTGGATCTAGTAGCACTGTTCTTGATTTCCCAAGAATGAGACATTCAATATATGAAACAGAGCAAAATTGGGTGACACCAAATTTGAATGATAGTGATACTGATATTGAATCAGAGGAATTTGTCCTAATATAGTCATGAATATGTGTTATCTATCAGTACCAAATTATAAATTTAAATGTGATGTTATAAATTATTTTTTGCCACTATAGCAAAATCAAATCATGTCTAGATTGTAATGGTGCAAATTCTGTTGTATCATATGCTCTAAATAAAAATAATGTTAATTTGTTCTAACCATAGATTATGGTTTTAATTAGTCCATAGTCACATGTAATCCAAGAAATATAATCTGTATATAATAACTTTTCTATTGTCTCACTTAATTGCAGAACTGGTTACTTGACTGTTTTGGGAAAAGCATTTTAAAACTTTCATATGAAAACAATCAATCATGTGACATATCGAGCCTGACATTTCAATAAACATGAGTAAGATCAAAGATTCACTTTTTGAAATGTGATATCACACAAAGCGCCGTTCCAGTTCTTGTAATTCATAGATAAAAAATTGTAAGTTAATTCTGCAAAAGTAAATATTTTAAAATAAAAATTACATATATGTCATTTACGTTTTGAGTTACCATTTTCAACATATTTCATGATTTATTCTTATGACGTCAAGTAGCCAATCGAAAATGCAGTTTGATAAGATTGAAACTAGATGTAGCCTAGTTTGTGCAACAGAATGAATTGCTACCAATGATAATGTGTACTTATTGCTGTATAGTGTAAAATAAAGCTTATTTATTATCAAAACAAATTATTTTAACCTAAATCTTATTTTCATAAATTTATCCTGAAAGTTTCCTCACCTTCACAATCTTCAGCAGAATTACCACCCAACCGGAATTTTCAAGGAGAGTCCCGTGTTCGTCGATGTCTCGTGTCCTATTTATTTAGACCGATTTTTTATAACACTACAATCGCTCTATAAGCGCCCTAGATATCTATCTCCATAAAGGCCCTGCGGCGGGGGTCTACGTTCCTTACTCTTTGTTGTCCCGCCAGGCAGCAGGAAAATGGCGTATGCGTAACACGTTTTTGTTAGATCGGGAAAAAAATCGTCTCGTGCTTTAAATATACTGTCAGATACTAAAGTTAAAGAGAGTTTTTCTCGAATAACTTTGGTCCCGGCTGCATCTGCAATCGTTAAGAACACTCCACAATCCTCGCGGGAGCTCGCGTCATTTATATAAATAAAGAAAACTTAATTTTAAGTTCAATTTAGACTGTATCAAACAGATATACTTAAAATTCTGAACATAGAGCAAATTTTCGATAATATTAATAAATTTTAATTTAATTCAGACAATAGCAACGTCGTGCAAAAGCTTACCTGGTAATTTCCTGTGTGATACGTCTGTCATTATTCTTCAAAAATAAATAAATCAGATTCTTTTTTATCGGCGACATCAGTCTGCCACATATCAGATTCTATATAGACATTAAAATAAAAAAAAATAATAGTCAAGATTCATTATTTTTGAAGAACAATATTGACGGATATATCAAACCTGACACTGAAAATTTCGAGAATCACCAGGTTGCCTTTTAAGCTGAAAACAAAATGAAAATTCTTCATATAAGGTGTGAAGAAATTTATAATTATTTTTAGGTATATTTTTCAAGTTCACATTTATACATTGTATTAACTATACAAATTTTGTAAATTAATAATTTACAATGTTGCTTTCTTTCTCTGATCACATTTTAATCATTGGGCCAAATATTACAAGCGACATAATTATTAATTTTTGTCTTTGACTGGCGGCGGGTGTCTTATGAAGTAATGCACGGCGTTGTAAACAAGGTGTGGTGCGACATTATGTAGAGGATGTACTTTGTTCAGCTCGTTGTCTGGAGCGCCGACTATGAAGGCATCTTCGAGTCCAGTGCCATGTTGTGCCACTGACAACCCACTCAATGTGTAACACGTGTGGTAAATGTCACGGTACCTGAAATAGTTACAGCTGTAGTTAATTTAAGCACTGATGACCACGTATTGTGCCGTGTATGCAGTAAGCGTTAACTTCTTTGCTATTAGCATAGAAAAATCGTCACATAACAGCTCAGCAGTATGGGTAAAATCGTTATTTTCATGACAGCACGGTCTCGTCTTTTACTGTTACGTTAGTAATGTTAGCGAAAGTTGCATAACAACTTGCGCAAGGAAAAATTTATAATCTCAAACTCGTGTGTGCTTCGAGAAGCACGTAAAGCCGCTCCATCGACTCTTATTGTCGTATAAAAATTTATACAGAAATCAAATTTGAGACACGGACTTTTTACTTGTGGAGCAAACTATTTACGGAAGGTGAGTCATCCTTTAAGGATTTTTAATTTGTAAATAAATAATAATAAAAACATTAGGATATCCAGAATAGGGATATGCACATTTTGAAAAAATATTTAAAATTATAATTTATAAACATAACACTACAAAAATAGCCGGCACCGATAAATTAAAATTTTAGTAAAAATATAAATGATGATAATCTGTAACAACCACCACCATTTTCTGAACAACCTACCGACTGATGCTCTATTATATGCCTTTACGGAGAATGGATTTTTAAAAACACCTAAAATCAATTCTTAGTGCATCCCTATGTAATAAGACAAATGTAGATACCTACCCTCCAAATTTCAAGTCTCTATAACCAGCGGTTTAGGCAGTGCATTGTCTGTCAGTTAGTCAGTGTGTCAAAAATTCATAAACTAATAAAATCTATCATTTATACATACACAACATACATAAACTGACTTACTTTCCAGGTTTATCAATGAGTCCACCGCCATTTGCTTGACAACAAGTAATAATATATTCCTGCAAGGCACCTTGGTTGAAAAATACAGTTTCGATCATTTCTTTGCTTTCTGAAATTAAATATTATTTAATAAAATTATAGCAAAGAATAGTTATTTCATCATATAAATTACTACAGACTCCGAGGCTGAAACCACACTACATGTCGTATAAGTATAACAGAAAACACAGCACAGTAGCTCATGTTTCCAAAAACAGGTCCCACATCAAAGACCTAAAATGCACGATTCCCTGACCGCAACAAAACCGCAGCTTTTGCAAAGTAGTCTGAGCCTTGAGCCTTAAAACTATCTTGAAATTATAATTTCTTCACTTTCTGTGTTTCAATAAATGGCACTAAATGAGATGAAATGATAGCTTACAGTGGATGAAAAAACAAGGATTATCATAGGATTTATAATAGTAAAATATGTCATCAAAAGATAAGCCTATGTATTAAGTTAAATTTAAACATTACTCACAAAACAATAAGGTGTAAAATCAAGTGGAGAAATTTGAAAGACTTGTAAAAACAGGTCAAACAGTTGGCAACGTAAATAGAGCAGCTATTGACTAAACTAACCTTTTGATAGTATAGCACTTATAATTGGGAATGCAGCTCCTTGCCAGAAAGAGTAACAACCATCAACCAACTTGTTGGTGCGACCTTGAAATCCACCTTCAACTCTCATTTGGCGATTAACACACCACCTAAGCAAGGCATCCACATCACAAAGAGTGGTTCTATTAAGTAATGCAAGAGAGGCTAAGCCACAAAATGCATATCCACCATGAGCTTCCATTCCTGGACAACCTGCAAATCCACCTTCATATGTTTGACACCCCACTATCCATTCAGCTGTTTTATCAAATAATGCATCTGTGTAAATGTTTGTGATTTTAGCTATGCTTATAGCACAGTATGCTCCTCTGATATCATGTTCACCACCTTTATGTAGAGCGAAGGACCCGTCTACAGCCCTCACAGTCCATAAAAACTTTTGGAGTGAACTCCTATTTATAGAGTCATATGCTTCGTCTGTTCCAATAATACTTAATGCATTAACTGCAGCATATGTAGTACCAAGGTGGGGGAACTGACCAGGTCCTCCACCATAACCACCCTCCTCATGTTGGCACTTAGATATGAACTTTACTGTGTGTGATAATATTTCTGCATCAGGCATGTCATTTAGTAGCCAAAGGGAGTGCAGAATCCAATATACAAGCCATGTTCTACTGGCATCTAAACATTCATAACTTTTGGGCAAACCATTTAACCAATTTTTTAATATACTACTGTGAGACTTTCTAAACAGTAATGGTAGTTCTGGATCAAGAGAAGCACTTTTTTCAAATTTCTTATAAATCTTCAATATTGTAGTTTCAATATCAACCTAAAACAATAAAATCATTTTAATAAATTACTACAAATGTCATCAAATAATAAATAAATCACTGATATACTTTGACTTGTCTACAGACTAAGCGGAGATACTTGCTTGTGAGCTAACTAACTTGGTACATGCATATTTCAAACCTTAAGAATCTTTTAACAGGGTAAAAATTACATGTGCATAATACATAACTGCACAAAAAAGACATACAAACTACATTTTTGTTTATAGTAGGTGTAAAATTCAGATTATGACCATATATTAGCGGTACCTAAAAACTATAAAAAAAAAAATAATAACTTTCACATTTATTACACCAACCTGATCCGATGAAGTATCAGTAGGTACTCCCTCCGAATCGTATGATTCTCCTACAATATCGGAATAAGATCTTAATTGGTTTTCCATTCTCAAAATACAAAGGAAACAAAATCTGGTTTTGCACCGGGTAATCTCAAATTAATATAAAGGACATGTATATGTCTACAGATATACCGGTTTCATAACCTCCGCTTCGCGCATAATATCCTACGATTCATGCTCCTGGCAATCTTATCCCACAACATAGCACAAAGCGACAGTATAAATCTAAAGAACTAAATTTATTTCACAAAATAATCTTCACAGAGGCCCGGTTCGACAGATGTCAAATAAATCCACAGACTAGGATTGGGCAAAAACTATCGATATATCAAAATATCGATATATAAATCGGCACAATTTTTTTGACCGCAATATATCAGTTTTCGATATTCATTTTCAGATATCAAATTCGTATCATAATCGATATATTTTTTAAAGTTCTGCTGTCTGCTCATACGTCTCATCATGTATTACTTAAATTTAAAAAGTGAAGTAGGCAGTAGGCTGTATGTGTTTAGAAATTACAGTCTATGACCTGCTAGTCTTTTTTGTTTCTTTATGACAATGACACTGCTTGTTAGTTTAGTTGGTATCAGTGAGAGTGCTCCTGATGTTAATATCAGACAAATACTGATTTGTTTGAATAATGTAATTTTTGTTGTCTTGAAGATGTTGTTTTAATAACAAAACAACCAGGTGTTTATTTGCTTTAAAATTTCGAATATTTTGCCAATTTTATAGATAATCGCTTATTACGCAGAAAATATCGATACGACATATATCGATTTTTTTTCCCATTTGCCATCCCTACCACAGATTAAGGACTATACTAGTTAGTTAGGTACCTACTACGTTAAATAAATCTCTTTGGATGTCATCGGACCATAAATAAGGACGTTTACATTACGTTTATGGTCCGATGACATCCAATGGCATTAGTACTAGAAGTGGGCGATACAAATCGTATAAAGTTATTAAACGTATGTTGATATCGACGCGCACAGAAACTATATATTTATGAAACATATATCGCTTGATTTCCGATATTTATATATATGGGATATAAAACCATATCGCATCGTAGAAGAATTGAACCGATACAAGCATTTGGATTAGTGAGTCAGTGAAATAGCAATATTCAAATATTCTCGGGATTCAAAACTTTAGTTAAGGTTGTTTCCATACTTTTCTGTGTATTTTGGGACTTTTTTAATATACTTGATTATGTGAAGAATACTAAGCATATGAAAATGACATGCTTGTAAATATGCATGCTAATTAATTGCACGCTGGTTTATTTTCCAGTGCTAAATTAGCCAACGAGAAGCTGCTTACAAATACCGAATACAAATCGATTTACACATATACCTATAGTTTCAGAATCCGATGATGAATATCGATATTGTGCGTATCTTTCTAACGATTGGATCATTTGCATCTGAATCAGTGCAAAAATTCGAATCAATGCTTAATTCGGATCAGCGATTCTAGTACAAGAGCATAGAACAAATCGTATTAATCGTGATACGAATTTATTTAAAAATTACCCAATTCTTTTCATTGACCTTTGATATGGATTTTTTGTCTAGAAATATAATATTATGAGTCTCATGTCAAGATGAAATAAAATAACACTTTATATTAAGAACTTCTAAAATACACTTAATATCGAATCTATACCTACTCCTTCATACTTTGTTTAGGCTTAGGACGGACAATTTGCATTACAATTATACTTCTATTTATACTATTTTGTAATGTTCTATACTTATACTAAATTAAATTTACTCCACGGAAAAAAAGCACCATATAAAATTCACTCGACATTGGCAGAATTGTGCGAAATGCGCAGATAAGCCATTCGTAAAAGAAGAAGACATCAAATGAATGTTTTTTTACAAGTTCTGTCCGAGGACATAAATAACAAGATCACGAACAGATTACTCAATTACAGAAGAATTTAAAAAATATAAATTATTGTTGCGAAACATCATGTGTTATTTGTGGTCAGCTCAAACTACGATCGTTACACTTTCTTTATATTATAATTGACGATTATAAATACTTCTTGGTATATCTGGACACATGATTCCTTTAAAAGCAGTACCTCTGTCAACCTTAATTTGAAAAATATGGCCTTCGTGCTTAGCGTATAATTGACTAAAGTATTAAAAATGTCATCTCAGATGCCTCGCAATATTCCTATAGTGTCGAGTTCTGAATCTGGGTGCAGTGGAACAACAAATGGCGATGCTGTTTTTATCTATGTCCTAGGTTCACAATGCCGCGTGTGCGCTGAAATGTGTCGCGTCAGAAAGCCAACAAGAGATAATTGTTTCAACATCCCTTCCTTGCTATATTGTTTCTCAAAGTACCATTTAAAAATAGCGACAATTTCTTTTGGTCCTTCGAACCAGTTGTTATTCTGTGCCGGGTTCATGCTCCAGTTGATATAATCATATTTCTTATATCCATTGTGGATTATTTGCCCTTTAGCATACGTACGGCGTGAGTTAAATGTTCACCAGTTTTACAATATAATATTTCCCCCAAGTAATTACATATAGTTTCTACACGACTGCCCAAAAAGGAGTGTATTGTGTTTATGTTTGTACATAATAGGTTGGGGAAAAACTTTCTTCGCATTTTATATGAAAATTAAAAACATTTTTAATAAAGTTTATTTACATTTAACTAAATGATGTAGGTAACATTTTGTTCGAAAACTTATTGCCATCTTGTTAGAAGGAACATGATCCCCCATTGCTATAGAAATTTTGGGGGCTTATTATCAAAAAGCCGTTTTGGCAGTCGTCGCGTGATGTTAACCTGACACTGCCTAAAAAAATCTGAAGAGACCGAAACGGGTGGAAATATGAAGGTGCAAGGTCAGGACTATACGACGGATGCATTAACACCTCCCAGCCAAACTTTTAATTTTTACTGAGTGGCAAAAAATGTGTGAGGCCCAGCGTTATCATGGTTCTATTGAAACCACACCCATTCTATTGATTAATTATATTCCTGTTCAGCCCTACACAGCTCGGCTAACTACTTGTACACTTGCAGGCGGAACCTTAAAACCCACACACTTTACTTCATAAATAAAAGTATTTAAATCAAAAAAAGTTGTTAGATATCTATTATAAAGAGGAAAGATTTGATTGTTTTTATGTTTATTTGCTTCGAATTGAAACCGAAAATACTAGACCCTTATTAAAAATATCTTTAAGCTACGGTACGGTAGCTACATCATACGGGGTTGATATAGGCACGCATTATGTAGCGAAGGCGCAGAAACAGAACAGCTAGTCTCCAATAATCGATCGAATTACATAGGGCCCCATCTAAGGGTCCGTACATACACATGAAATTTAAACAAGTCCGGATCTACGATTTTTCTGATCGGAATAAAAACTCGATATTGCGTCGTTTTTTGTATGACCATACTTAGGGACTTCGAAAACATGGCCGTTCCATTTTTTTTTTTTTTATGGGATAGGGGGCAGACGAGCAGACGGATCACCTGATGATAAGTGATTACCGTCGCCCATGGACACCTGCAACACCAGAGGGGCTACAAGTGCGCTGCCGGCCTTGGAGGAAAGGGTTGAGGGGTAGAGGGAAGGGAGTAGGGAGGGGTTGGGCCTCCGGTACCCTCACTCACACGACGAAACACAGCGCAAGCGTTACTTCACGTCGGTTTTCTGTGAGGCCGTGGTATCACTCCGGTCGAGCCGGCCCATTCATGCCGAAGCGTGGCTATCCCACTAACTACATTTAAAGTTCCATTACAGCCTTTAATCTTAATTTCAAAATACATTTTCGTGAAGCTCATTTTTTTTAATGTAGTACTATATTATGATTTTGTTGCCCCGTGATACTGGCGCCCCGGGCTTTTTCTGACAAGATATGATCCTGAATTTAAATCGACGATCTATTCGATATCGGTCGAAGCTCATTGACCCATTAGTAAAGAGCCTTATTTATTATTTGTAAGATTAATAATGAACTATGAGTAGCCACAGTAGAAATTGTTCACACGTAAACCAACACTTTGCAAGGGCTATAATACGGTTTTATAAGATAAATTCATAGGTAATATGCATACTTTAAGGTTTATTTTATAGACTATAATTATACATCAAATTTGTATTGAGTAATACTAGATTTGTCGGGAAAGCTTGTTCGTAAAATAAACATATTATTGACCTCTGGCGTTGAATTCAATGTTTCCAAGTAACCGAACCAGTAAATGACTAATCCTGGTCCGAATCTATTCCAATAACATAACAATTGCTCCTTTAAGTAACAAGAGTGATTTTCTTCATCGCCAAATAGTGCTTTACTCTCAACCCAATTTATTACAAAACCATCCACTGCAATTGGTATATCAAGTTTAAAATCAGGTGTCTTGTCATATCCTCTTGATCTTAATACATTTTCATCAGAAAAAGTGATATTCATAAGCCGAAGTTCTCTTTCTAATCGTAGTTCATACTCAAGTCCGATAGATCTGAAATAAATAAATGAAATATTATAGAAAAGGATTGCTAGTCCATGTCATAGACAAATAAGGCATAGGTACAGTTAGCCTAGTCTTTATTTGGTAAAAATATCAGAGTGATAAGTGTAAGTTTTACGTTAACGCATTCACTAGTGAGCGCGTTAAGAATTTGTATGGAGAATTGTAGTTCTTAGTAGTTACCGCTAGGGGCGCTATACCGAATTCAATACAAAATCTTAACGCGCTTACGATCGACGGTGAACGAAAAAGTCAGAAAAACTTACACTTAAGCGTTACACTTAAACATTTATAAATAAGTAAAGTCAATTTATTTTTTACGGAGCTTTAAAGCGTCTGACAAAAGTTCTGGCCCATGGAAAGCGTCTGACACTTTTAATTTTACTTCAAAATAACTCTACTTAAAAATATACTTAAAAATCAGGTAATAAAAGTACATGTAGAGACTACTAAGAATCGTTCTATGCTTTTAAAAATAAGTTATGTCAGATCGCTCTGGGATCTTGGACTATAATTACTTCTCTCGATTGTAGATGCGAAGGGTAGAGTAGACAATATTATAAATAAGTATCCAAAAGAGCCGAAGAAAAAAAAAGAAACAAATAACTATAAAAACAATTTGGAAAAAAAAGGGACCTCAAAAAATCGTGATGAAGAGAAACAACTGAAAAGAAAAAATAGCACCACCAAATTTTAATCCCAAAAGATATCGAAACACAAGATTAACATACATGCTTCTATCTCGCTAAACAATTCCCCAGGGACCTCGCGGAAGAAGCCGCTGGCGGAAAGCTAGGTTTTAGGGTTCCGTACCCAAAGAGTAAAACGGCAACCCTATTATTAAGACTTCGCTGTCTGTCTGCCTGTCTGTCACCAGTCTGTATCTCATGAAACGTGAAAGTTAGACAGTTGAAGTTTTCACAGATTACGTATTTTGTTGCCGCTTCAACAATAAATACTAAAAACCAGAATAAAATAAATATTTAAGCAAAAAGAAAAATCACATTTTTTGTATGAAAGCCCCATACAAAAAACTTGATTTTTCTTTTTTGCTGTCACCAGGCTGTACCTCATGAACCGTGATAGTAAAACAGTTGAGATTTTCACAGCTGATGTATTTCTATTGCCGCTATAACAACAAATACCAAAAAACAGAATTTATTAGGCATTTAAGGGAGCTTCCATATTTTTTTTGCTCGTTTTCGGTACGGAACACTTATTTTTTATTTATTTAATACTTTATGCACTAAAGTACAAAGGCGGACTAAATGTCTTAGGCATTCTCTGCCATTCAACCTTTAGGTGATGTGGAGACTAAATATAAAGTAAAGGTAGGTGCATACCAATACACTTAAAACGACAAGACGAAAATACATATATACTTACACATAAAGTACTCAATTTAGACATATACTGGAATACATATAAATACATAGATGAATGAATTATATACACACATATATATATACTTACATACACATTAGACGTGAGATAATGATTTTCATGAATCTGGCTGTTTCAGTATAAAGGAAAAAGGAGGAATGCATGACGTCAGAGTGATGAGAGGGGCAAACAAGTAGTCGATTAAAGGACGATCGATAGTGTGACTCGTGCATAAATACTGAAAGTGGGGGGTTAAATAGCTTGGGGCATTGGGTGATTCTAACGAAGAAAACAAAGTGGTAAATGCCCGCACTTCTCTACGCTTTCGTGTAGGCATCCATTTTAAAAGAGAGCGATATGGGGATACATTGTCGTATTTACGAAGATTAAAAACGAATCGAATGCAGTTATTTAGAACACGGTCAAGCTTATTGAGTAGATCTGCATTCAGGTCGAAACACTTCGTGCGCGAGTCCAACTCGCATTGTTTATATAATAAGTATTACTAAAATATTTAATATAAATATAAAAACATGTCAACATAGTGAAAGCCTTAGGAGAGTTTGTTTATTTACTCGAAATATTTTTTTCGCAATAATCTATCTATATATACCCATATTATAAGAAGGAAAGATTTGATTGCTTGTTTGTTTGCATTGGATAGTCTTCGAAATTAAAGGATCGTTTATAAAATTCTTTCATCTACTGCAGGGGTTCCCAAACTTATGTCGTATGCAGCCCACTTTGAGAATAAAAAAAGATTAAGCGCCCCAATTTTTCACCTACTTAAAAACCATTATCAGCGAGATGCACAAACGTTCATTAAGATTTCCATTAGTTTAAAGCGACATTACCCATACAAATTTGACATTCATTAGAGCTTAAAGGAGTCATTAAACCTTAATGGACGTTTGTGCAACTGACCGTATAACTTCAAATTTCATTAATTATTGGGAGCTTTATTAGCGAAAACTAAATATTCATTCTAAACAAGACTTTTAAACAGAACGACCGATTGACATACAATTTATTTTATTTATTCAATAAAACAGGACAGATATGCATTAATATATTAGACGGAGAGAAATATAGAACCGAGTTATTATGAGCAATCTCTTAATTCATATTATTAGTTGATGTTCAAAACTTGTGGTCGATTGATAGTCTACAGCTCAATCAATGTCAAAGAGTCCTCGTGGATAAAATTACAAATCGCCCCCTAAGCCTCTACACAATACCCCCATTTTTCTTCAGGGTACCTATCTTGCCGCCCCTCTTTGGGCCTGCAGCGCCTACAAGGACGCGTTATTGCCCACTTTGCGAAGGGCTGATCAACAGGAAGCTTCATAATACGCGGGGACATAGGCGAAGAAGAAATTGGTTCACAGTTCAAGAAGAAATAGATGAAAATACCTACTTAGATGGCTGGCACCGATCTCAAAAAAAAATTTTTTGGTGTATCCACTTTGGTGTTTCGATATTATTTAAGACTAGCTTTTGCCCGCAATTTCGTCCATTGCGTGGTATAAGTACTTTGGGGAACAATTCCAGAAACGCTAAAACGAATATTTATTTAGTACATCGAGAAAAGTGCTTGAATATAAAGTTTCATGATTTTATATTTAGTATTGAGGAACGTTCTCGTATAACGACTTTTATATATCTATCAATGTCCTATCTCAGGGTCAACTTGGTTCAGTGGTTAAGGTGTGAGAGCGTAACAGAGATGCAAATACTAACTTTCGCATGAATAAGTTTTCCCACGGTTTTAAATTACTCAAAAATCAATTTTCATCGATGCAAGTCCAAAAACTATGAGGTTTCATACAAACGTTTTCAATATTTTTTTGGAGTAGAATTTCTAAAAATCCGTTTTTAGTACACCTCTACGAAATGAGAGGAGTGTACCCTCCAAATGTCGTCTCTACTACCAACGGTTTTGGCCGTGGATTGTCTATCAGTCAGTAAGTCAGGACATCTTCTTTTATATATGTGTTGGAGCGCATTATATAGCTTTTAATACATTTACATTTCACACATGAGCTTCGTCATCAACTCTCGCGCTGTGAGAACTGAAAATCAGCAGACACGATTCCACGTAGTGTCATAATCATCATCCAAAAAGTAGCGGTACGCACGTCATACTCGCGTCGCGGTCGCGTGCTATCAGCTGACATTGTTGAAGAAGACGAGATACAGGAAAGGACGGTTGTTCTCTAAAGCTGGATAAAACATCAGCCACCAGCGCCATACAGGCCAGTGAGTCAGTCATTTCGTTTTCCCTACCATGTATAATTTCCTTTCAAATATGTACTTATAGATAGATATAGATAATATTTTTTTAGTCTTATTTGTCTCTTCTTAGTTGTTTCTCTTTGTTACGACTTTTTTTAAATATTTGTTGTTATAGCGGCAACAGAAGTACATCATCTGTGAAAATATCAACTATCTAACCATCACGGTTAATGAGATATACGGTCAGTTTCACAAACGTCCATTGAGCTTTATTGACGCCTTGAAGCAATAATTAATGTAAAATTTGTATGGTTATGGCGCACTAAACTTAAGAGAATTTTAATGGACGTCAGTACAACTGGCTGGTACCTGGAGACAGTTAAAAAATCACGTTTGCTATATGAATGCCCCCTTAAATATTTATTTTATTATATTTCTTTTGTATTAGTTGTTATAGCGGCAAGAGACATACAATATCTGTGACAATTTCAACTGTCTAACTTAACACAGTTCATGACATGAGATACAGCCTTGTGACAGCAAAAAAAACATTTTTGTTGTATGGTAACCTCTTAAAATTTCAAATATGTAACTTTCATGGTTCATGACATACTGACAGATAAAGATAGAGCCTGGTGACAGACAGACAGAGAGCGCGAATTAATCCCGCTACAAATAAAGCTAATATTAAAATTTTTTGAGAGGTCTTTTTTTTTATTTATTTGGGATAACAACAGCTTTTATACTAAATATATTGTACATAGTGTATTATTTAAATCTAAGCCACTTATATAGCTTTCCACGATTACATTACATGGAGGTTGTTACCAGCCAGGTGCTACTTAGAACTAATTAATTTTTAAATAATACTGAGATATGATAAGATCTATTGTTAGTAATATAATTGATATTGTTAATCGTCATTAAGAATAGCAATTAAACTGACAATGAGTTATAATACAGTAAGCAATTGAACTACATAAAAATGGAGCAAACACTAAGCGAGTAGGTCAATTCATACTCGTTACACTGTAGAGAGACCATAGAAGAAATGAGACATCTAAATGCTGGTGCTTAGGTGTGTATATATTTTGTCTTTGAAAGATCGATGAAAGGGTAGATTGCAGAGAATTTTTTGTAAAAACGGCATTCTTACCGTAATTGGTAGTATGATGACTAACATAATTTTCAAGATGTCGCATTAATATCATGATATTTTAAATTTTTCTTTAGATTAATACAGAGATAACACTTACTGTTTTATAACATCTGCAAATGGTCCATATTGATTATCATTCATGAGTCCCTGTAAAAATAAATCAAAAGCTCAGCAACATTAATAAGTATTCTGTATAAGTAAAGTTAGAAGTAACCAGAAGGGATTTAAAATATTTGATAAAATTTTCAATAACAAAGTAGAAAACATCACTTAGATTATGTAAGTAACATACATTTAATAGTATGATAAGGTTGTGACCACTTTTGGTTTAATGTTGAAATTAAAACTGAGGGAATCCTAAAAAGTTTCTGAGTATATATTGAGATTTAACTTTCAAACAAAGCCCTTATTAATCTGTAATTAATTTTTAATGTAAGATAAAATGTATGGATAGTTATTATAAGGATGAACTACTACAATCAAATTAGTGGCACTCTTTTTTTCTCACTACAAGTATATAATCCAAAATAATGTTCATTATTATCAACCAAAATTATTTGATTTACCAATATTGCATACTTTATTTCTAGATTATATAGTTGTAGTGAAGAAAATAGGTGCTATAGATACATAATTGAATTCAAAAGTTATTAACCATACAATGAACATTTCTCTATTTTCATCTTTCATAAGCTCTTCATATTTACTCCTGGAATTTACTCTGTTTGAAATAATACATGTAACTATTTATTTTAACTTAAAAAAGCCTCATAACAAATATTTTGCAAAAATAAGCATGTTTTCTTGCCTTGAAATTAAATAAGCTCTTCATATTTACTCCTGGAATCTACTAGCTAGAACTAGATAAAAAAAAATTCGTAGCTACATTTGATAAACCTTTGGTCAGATTACCAAGATTATTTATCTCAGGATTCACTCAATAATATTGCTTACCAAAAATACTTGACAGGCCAGGTCTTTATTTTCAATAAGTGTAGTATCTTTCAGACATTTTTTTGTCATGGTTGAGTCACTATAGACATTCTGTAGTAGTGATCTAGCAAAGAGAGCTGGAGTTATTCTTTGAGATTCAGATAATCTAGAATAAACAAAGATAAAATTATCATCTGATTGTCAAAAAACTATTCTACTTTTTGCTTCACTCACATTGAAATACTTCTGAGAAATTTACTTATTCAATGTGTCCTTAGAAAATAAACTCCAGTTTTTTAATAGGTACATGTATTGAATTTAATAAGGCATGCTACTCTGTTTGAAATAATACATGTAACTATTTATTTTAACTTAAAAAAGCCTCATAACAAATATTTTGCAAAAATAAGCATGTTTTCTTGCCTTGAAATTAAATAAAAGTTTTAACTTTTTTATACCTGCTATCAGTCATCATGAATAAGTAACATGTACACAAAACAGATGCATTGAGTAGAAGATTAAAATATGTCAATAAAATGAGAATAATGCCATCTAACAATACATTTCGACATTAAAAAATATAAATAAGCTCAGAACAATGCCATCTAGCAATTTGATTTATAATAGGGATGAAAACGAATTTTTATTTGTTTGTCATCTTTTCGCATTCGAAATAATATACTGAAAAATATTCTTAATGAAAATGGGATTAAGTTGGAATTCGAACCCATGACCTTTCACAATCACGGTGTCTGCTCTAATCACTGGGTTACCCATGACCTAATAGGACTGGTGATTCTTTAAGAACTTGTTACTTTAGAAAATCAACATTGTTTACACATTAAAATACATATAACTTAGTTTACAAGGAAAGAATAATTGAATGAAACACTGCAATACAAATGATGAACATAAAAAATAGTTACCTTAAGATAACATTTTCTCTGTTTTTATCTTTCATAAGCTCCTCATATAACTCATGGAATCTACTAGATATAACAGGAGATTTTCTGTAGCTATGTTTCATAGACCTTTGGACTAGTAGAGATATTATACTGCCCAATGTGCATGATGGCAAGCTGTTAAAACAAAATTATTTAAGTAACATAAAGTTTTTTATATGTCACAGCAAGATAGATAAAGAAATAATATTATTATATCCTTAAAAATATATTAATATAACAGAACATAGTTAAACAAAATTGTTTCATTACTATATTGGGTTGCAATGTAATAATATGCTTATCTTACTAAACCTAATAAAACTTTTTAGTTAGAAATCTACTATACAATCCATTCCTATACCAAACTTGTTTAGATTTATGATAAAACAAATGTTAAAACCTAGACTCAATTTAAGATGATCACAAAGCATAGTGTAGTGATCATCAATAATAATTATAATCCTGGGCCTTAACCATATAACTATAGGATAGCCCTCACCAAAGGTCCTTTACAATAGGGTAGTTGACTACTTTTTTTTTATTTTATAAATAAATTAATTTGTCCGTTAATACCTTAGAAATAATCTAGAAGTAAAAATCATGCCCGTGATTAATAGACATGAGGTGACTTCTTGCTTCTGTAGCTAAAAGCATGGATGTCTGGGCAATCTTTGTTATTTGTGTGTTTATGTTTATAGTTGTTACATTTTATGTAATTAATTTAATGCTATGTCTTTAGCAGTTTATAATCTAAAATCCCTAATTTTTAAGTTTTCTAATGGTCATATTTTCCAGTAAAATTTATTTTGTTAAATATTTGTAAGTTAAATTAGTTCATATTTTCGAAATATAAAACAAAAACCTGAATTTTCAATTGTAGAACACAACCTTATTTCACTAGACTACAAAAAAGTACAAAATCTTAACTGATTATTTTCAATAATTTAAGTTTATTATTTCGGATATATAATTATACCCCTAAAAATATAACATCAATACGCACTTTTATATCTTACATTTCTAAATATGTGTATAAGTACCTTTTGTATTTATTTTTCAACTCATTTTCTGCTTTCCGGGTAAATGAAGACATTTTATTGAAATCCTCAACGATTGAATTGTAGACTTCCGTTTTTAAAGGTTTTATATTTAACATTCTGCTTGCTTCACTTAAAATTATCTATGTAAACAAATTGACACTAAAAATAATTAAAATAAATTGATTCTCTTTTTTTATTAATGGTTTATATGCCAATGTCAAGTGTTTTCATTAGTTAAATTATAATAAATTAATGTCTACACGTAAAATGAAACGAATCAATTTTTTTCCCTAATTCACATATTATATAGTTTTCCCTAATTTTCAGATTTCTTAACAGCAAAACAAAAATACCAAAGTACAAAACAAAGCGCACGTTACGTTACTAAACACGGCCCGTCAACTCCGTACAAGAAACCAATCGCGTAGGGGTCCAGTGATGTATGACATTTCCACACGCCCCTCACCCCTGTCAGTAGATGGAGACATGACACTTGACAGAAACTGTCATTACAACAAAGAGTAAAGATACTAATGTTTTAATTAATCTTTAATTCATTTCATTTTCATTTTACATGTTGGAATTAATTTATTCACTTCACATTGGCAAAATTGCGTGAAATGCGTAGATATGCCATTAATAAAAGAAGTAGAAGACTAAAGTATGTACCTACATATCAGGGAATTACAAGTGATTGAGTAGTTTCGTTTGTGCTTACCCTCTTCGCTTTATTTGTAATATAAACTCTCCTTTTTTCGAAATATTTTTCTTTGTAGAAGATGCCTAGGAAATTGGTGTGTTGTGTTATGGTTGTGCTACACGCATTGTTAAAGAACGAACAGGACGCTATTCTTTGTAAGATTCTAGTGAACGAGAAAAGATTCTCCAAGTGGTTACAATGTCTTAGTGCTGTGTGTGATACTGAAAATTTGAATCCAGGCAGAAGGGTTATTTGTAGCAAACACGTTGTACCAAGATTCATTACTCCAAAATCACGACTCTTGGGTGACGCATATCCGTCATTGTTTAATGATGATGGGCTCTCAATCAGCCTACCCTCTTCAAGCAATACTGGTAAGGCTGGTTTAATCTGCTATTACCTTTAGATAATGTAATTAAAATGATATGTAACTTCACTTTATATTGTGTTTTGGAATACCGCTATTCTTCATTAGATTTTTTTGTTATTACAGAAATTATATTCACTTGGGAACACAGCTATGCAAGAAAAAGTCATGTTGACCACACATATTAGAAAGTGGAACTGAATAGAGGTTTGTTTTTAATTTATTTTATTTAGATAACAAAGTTCATGCTGCAGTTTTGGTGTATTTTAACATAGATTTTTGCTTTAATAAAGTCTAGTAGATCTGTCTTTCTTACACACATAAAGAAAAATTACATTAAGTTATTTAGGGCATGCTAGAAGTGATTTTGATCAGAGAAAAAATTTATAATATAAATAACATATTTCTAATATCATCTAAGATTATATCCTGTTTTTTAATCTCACACACATAATCAATATTGATTTCATAGGTGGTATAATTTTCAAAGAACAAATTGAGACTCCTGTGTCTGCAGCCACTGAGTTTACTCAATTAGTTGCTTGTTCTGGAGATTAAAATATGACACAAACTAAATTATCTGGTAAGACCTGTCTCTTTCTTTAGTGTATCTTTATTATTTCAATCAAATAGTAGTTCTAATAGAGAAATTCACTGAATACTTTTGATGTTACAGACCCTGTGAAATGTACCCAAACAAAAAGGAAACAGCTTATTACCAAATAAAGCCAATTGTCACCTTTATACCAGAGAATTTATGAAGAATATAACAAGCCAAAGACATAGTTGAACTTTCATAAAAAAGTTAAGAATACTTAAATACTGTACGGTTCGTACACCTTTTTATGATAGAGAGAGAGAAGTAAAAGTCTTGATATATTATAATTGATATATTGTAACAAGTAAACTAAAATTACTGATATATGGAATGATAATGATATGAGTACGCGCGGCGTGATTGATTACCGATGACGAACTAACTACAAATTGACCTAAATTAATGAATGTAGCGTAAAATGATTACTAGACAAAACTGTACGAGTTGGCTCGTACATGTTCCCGGGCCTGAGATAGGAGAGGGTGGGAGTATTAAGAAATGATTATGAATGACGTGCGACAAGATGATATACAGTGTTAACTTATTCTACTAACAAGGTGATTAAACAATATTCTCTTAAAATCTTTTAAAATTAGAGTGAGAAATGTCTGGTAAACGTCGGAGACGTAGACCTATCTTTTGATACCGACACACGCGCACTTTTTGTTTTTACACTATTCACGATAGCACTTTCACTGCACTGATTATTTGAGCTATCTTTACACGCACTAACTACACTAGCACAACACTGAACTGAAGAAGGACTAGCATCGCTAGCCAGAGTTGCGACACCTGCAGCAGGCAGCGGTGGCTCAGGCGCCGTGCGCGCTCGCGCCAGGCGACGCCACACTATCACTGCACCCACAGTCACTCCGGCACCCAGTACCAGATATATGACCACGTAGTGATGAACGTCGTGATAGGATATACGTTCGGCTAAAGTGTCGTCGTTCGCGTCAACTTCCAAATTCTTTATCTTCTGCTCTATTTCTTTTATATATCTTTGATGATCAGAAAATGATATCGATGTCGATTCTATGTGATCGACAGGAACTGAGATATTTAAAATGTGATTGATCGGCGGAATATCGATTTGAAGGACATTCAGAGTCTCATTCAAAACATTTGATAACTCGTCTCGAGAGTAAATTGTAAAGGTATTCGATTTAATTATACATCCATTACTTAATGTTATTATTCCTACTTTGTATAACTTTGGAGCGGTAACATGATCTTCACATATGATCCGCACGTTACAATAATTGCAACAGAAAAATAGATAATTATTAGTTTTGTGAAGTTCTACCCATCTATCTTGACATAATGCAGTGCTAGTCTTACATTGTGTAGAATTCTGATTTTTAACACATAAATCGTCACTTGAATCCATATCAAATACAGGTTGCTTTAATGAACATATAAGTTCGCTATTAAAGACATCGCAGCTTTGTATAGCTGAATGCGTCATACGAATATAGGTATCTTTATGTAAGTTCATTGCTATGTAATCTGATATTGGCGTTATTGTTTTAATATTATCTTCTAATTGCTGTGGAATAGGTATTAGTTTGTAAATTTCGTAATTGTCTCGACTAACTAAGGGAATTTTTACTTCAAATATGATAAAGGTTTTCAGGGCTCTCGCTTTTACACTAAGTAAATGATACATACTCGAGAGATCTGTCTGAATGTTGTTTATCGGCAACGTTAACTCCTTTGATAATAAACTTGATATGATACTAAACTCGTTGAGTAGCTGTTCTGGTGTGAGAAGGTGAAAATTAAATCTTCCGTGGTAAGTATCCGTAATAGAATCGATTAAAGTTTCTTGAATATGTCGCAAATTTACTATGAGATTATTGGCGATAACAGAGGACGTAATAAAATCACTGGAGTACTCTAAAAGTTGTATCTCATCTTCTTGTATATTCAGTGCTTTTTCTAAATTATTTAAATGAGTGTTAAAAACTTTATGTTGCTTGTCGATGGTTTGTTCTATTCTCTTGATCAAGTTAAACTCGGCTTCCACTATCGAAGTTTGATTTTTCCATAGGTTTGCTAAGTGTTTCTGATTATATCTAAGAAGCTCTATATCTTTTTCATATTTTTGAGCGAAGTCACTATCAAGAAGTCCGAATAGCTGATTTGCAATGTTTCCGATCCCATTGATAAGACCGCGGCGGAGTCGCGTGCGCGCACTCGGCTCACGTCCTGGGAGCTGCTGACCGAGCAAAACACTGTTGTAATGCTCGAGCTCGGTGAACCCGTGATGTAATTGGAGTAGTATAATGTTGCATTGTGATATCTTTTTATTGCCGGTAGTGAAACATGTGTTTTCAAGGTGATTTATATATTTACTTAGTAATGCTGTTCCCGTCCAATATGGAGACAAATCATAGTAAATTACTAGTTTCCACTGGTTTCTCTCAATACGTACATTGGCGATTTTATCAAAATATACACTTTGACTGGTATTTAGGTTGGATGTTTTGTATCTACAGAATGCTGATCCACTGAATGATAATATAAGTGTACATATGATGAATAAGTAATTAAATAAATTGATACTTTTATGAACTTTTCTCGGTTTCCCTTCCACTGTTGCGGCTGCTGTCGTGATATTTTTTACTTTTGATTTCGCAGTACTTTCTTGCTGATTTGGCTGTTCTTCGGAAGCTACTGGTAATCTTGATATTTTTGTAATTGGCCTTTTGATTATACCGTTTTTTGTTTTAATTGATACAACTCGCACATAACCGTCACTTCCGGGATGTAAGGCTATGATACGACCGAGTGCCCATTTTCCTGGAGGAAGGTTAGCATCGTGTATTAGGACTACATCATCAACTTTGACATTTTCTTTAGGTTGACGCCATTTGCATCGAGACGATAACTGACATAGGTACTCAACTTTCCATCTTTTCCATATATCGGTAAATATTTTCTGGGTTAATTGCCATCTTGTTCTCAGGTCTCTCTCGGTTTCTATGATGGTTAATGTGGGTCCACTTGACAAAAAATGAGATGGTGTTAGATAATCGATATTTTCAATGTCTTCAGTCAGAGAACATAACGGTCGGGAATTTAGACAGGCTTCCAATTGCGATAAAAGGGTTGAATATTCTTCGTATGTTAAGTTTTGCTCTCCGATCACTCTTTTGATGTGATATTTCAGGCTTTTAACAGCCGCTTCCCAAAGGCCTCCGGCAGTGGGCCAAGATGGGGCGTTAAAATGCCAATTTATTTCCATATCTGTGATGGCAGTGAAAAAATTATTATCTAATGTCGATTGCAAGTTAATAAATTCTTCATTGAGACTGCGACATGCACCCACGAAGTTTGTGCCGTTGTCGCTATAGATGTTGCGAGGGGCACCTCTTCTTGCCGCCATTCTTCTCAACGCTGCTAGAAATGATGATGAACTTAAATCTGATACTAATTCTATGTGCACAGCTTTAGTCACCATGCACACAAACACTGCGATGTACCCCTTGTTTGTTTTGATACCTCGGCCTTTGTTGGCTTTGATATTTACGAAGCCCGTGAAGTCGACTCCGCAGTTATAAAATGGTCTTGTTGGAGTA